TTGTGGTCGGGTCAGGTTGGTCGATTGGGTTATTTAGCTCTTTTTTTTGGCCGAGTCACAGGCACATTTATTATCTTCTGGAAACAACATGGTCTTTCCCTCCCCAAAGTGGCCCCGGGTCACAGGGGAGGGCCAAGGCCCGGAGGTGGCAGCAGGCCCATGGGGCGGCAACGTCATGGGTGGCAGGAACAGGGCCTTCAGCTTGCCCGACAGGCTGGCAATCTCAGGGCCCTGGGCTTCGTAGGACTTGACCAAGGGGGCAAACTTCAGGACACCTTCCCACCGCAGCGGAAGCCATAGGCTTTGATGACCTCCTGCTGGATCTGCGTGGCCCCGGGCAGGACAAACTGCAGCATCTTGCTCATGTCATTGCACGCGTTGTCCCCTGCTGCGTCCGTGCGCACGGCGTTCTCTGGGGCCGAGAATGCCTGCATGACTTCGGCCAGGACCACCTTGGCCTGTTCGGCGCTCAATGCCGCGGGCTGGGCCGAAGCGGACGCCATGCAGGACTAGAAGGGGCACGTGCAGCGAAGCCGCGGGAAGGGCCGCCTCCCGAGCGCGGTTCCTAAAGCCGCTGGGAGGGGAGGGGAAATAGCATCCGCAGCAGCCGGAAACCGGCTCATACAGTCCTGGTGCAGAACCGACGGAGAAACAAACACGAAGCCCCGGGAGCCAGGGGGCTCACAGACGTGAAGAGGTCTCTTCCAACCAATCTACTTTTAGATACCTGGTGTGTGAGGGGTTTTCCAGTAAAAGCCAGAAAACCTGCTAGACAAATTCTAAAAGAGCTGTAACACTTATTTAGCTCTTATCTTTGTTGACTTTTTCCCTAGTTGTTCTTTCAGAACCGTGGTATATTAAAGTCTCCCACCGTTATTGCACAGTCATTGATTTCTTTCTTCAATTGTTTATCTGTTTTGCGGAGCCCTGATAGCACTGTTGAGTAAATGCTGGTCTGCTGGATCACAAGGTTAGTAGTTCAAACCCGCCGGCTTCTCTGTTCCTGTTGAGGCTTACAGCCTTGGACATCCCATATAGGGCTCCTATGAATTAGAATACACTCAATGTACACACACACACTTTTCTTGTTCAATTGACCCTTACTCATTGTATAATGCCCTTCCTTGTCTCTTAGCCCTTAGCTCTCTCACTAGTGTTCTGAGTCCAATAGCCACACAGAATTCACAATATTCACATTTATAGGACTTATTAGGAAAGTAACTAGAGTTTTGGATCCGAAATACTCAGGATGTAGTTCTTCAATCGGCAGCCTCTTCTCAGCCATGGCAGCAGGTCCATCTCTCTGGCCCTGGACTCCTGCTCAGTTAGGGTTACAGAGTTCTGGGTTCTGCTGATAAATCTCCACCAGAGGCAACTCGCTCTGTCAGTAAGCTTTAGGCCAAAGGCACTCAGCTCTGGTTCCAGGGGTCAGCAAACCTAGCTCTCCTGATTATGAGTCCAGGAGGCATCCCACCCTGACAGCAAGCCCCATGCCTGAAGCAACTGAACTCATGCAGCAGCGTGCGGCTGAAGCACCCCCGCCCCTCATGAGTGCTCTTCGGTCTTCTCTGTTGCCATTGCTCCTCCAGAGCTGCCTTTTGCTGTCTGTGGGGTCACAATTCTGTCTCTTGGATCGATGTCTATCCAGGGACTTCAGGTCCAGAGAACACGTTCCTTTCCTGTTGGTGCTGGTATGCCCACTTCGGTCTCTGGGGTGGCAAAAGTTAACCGTCCCTTGTTAAGTCAACCGTCTCTTTGTATGGTCCTACTCTACAAGGATAGCACGGCCCCTGGTGTATTTTACCAACAAGCTAGCCAAGCCCCTTTGTGGGCCATAAGCACTGCATGTTTGCATAATGCTACATCACCTTGCTGAAATCACAGACTATGGCCGGAAGGCCCATAGCCAGTAATCCACTGCACTGCACATTTTCCTTGCTCATTTCCCTTTGGGATATTGCTGTTTCATGTTAATCTCACTGTATTTTGTTAACATTCATTCATTCATTCCAGATTAGCCATGAGCAAAATGTCTGTTGCAAATATACTTCTCTAGTACATGTGGAATTTTGTCTGTAGTCTTTTAGACATAAAACATACTCAACTCTATTTATAGCTAAACTCCTTTTAGACATAAAACATACTCAACTCTATTTATAGCTATACTCAGTGTTTGCCTTTGTAATTGTCCCCTACTTTGAGGTTCAGACTTCTGGTGACTCTCCATGACAGATCATTGCTCTGTAGTTTCCGAAGCTGTAAATCTTTCTCCCAAGCAGTGGTTATGGGCTCCAACAGCCGACCTTTAGGTAAGCAGCTTAGCACTTAACTCACTGAACCACCAGGGGTGCTTATGCACGGCTTACTCCTAACAGCGTCCCCCGCAATCCCTTCCTTGATGACCTCCCACCCTAATGGAATACCAGTTTGAAAGAGGAACTGTGTTCAGGAGCTATCTTTTTACTTGTCTGTCTTACACTCCTGCAGAGTAACTCGCAGGTGTGTTGTTCATGGGCCTGTCGCAGCAATGAGCGGACATATAATGGAAGCTCGAAGAACAAGGGGCAAGGCTGCGGGACATTTCATCACTTGGAGGCTGCACGGACCTGGGGATTCATGAAATCCAGGATTACTCACATTGCCCTCAAAGGGTTAAATTCCTGCACAGCACAACCTACTAAAGGGGGGGGACAGACCATGGTGGTTGAGGCAGGTATGGGCAGTTGGGAGGGAACAAGAGGCAGGAGGATTTAATGGGCCCATCGGCTGCCAATGAGTGACCTTCAGGCAACCTCTCTGTCATAGGACAGAATAGAACTACCCCTTAGGATTTCTGAGAAGTTACGGACAGCCAGCCTCATCGAGAAGTGGCTGGTCACTGGAGATCCCCTTGCAGAGGGGACTCGGGGAGGAGATGAGCCAGTCAGGGTGCGATGTAGCAATGATGAGAAATACAACTTTCCTCTAGTTCCTAAATGTTTCCTCCCCGCTCCCACTACCATGACTCGAATTCAATCTTGCAAGTCTGGCTAGACCAGAGGAGGCACACTGGTACAGATAGGAACTGAAAATACAGGGAATCCAGGGCGGATGAGCCCTATAGGACCAGTGGTGTGAGTGGCAAAACAGGGAGGGTAAAGGGAGAATGGGTAGGAAAGAGGGAACCGATTACATGGAACTGTGTGTGACCTCCTCCCTGGGGGACGGACAACCGAAAAGTGGGTGAAGGGAGACGTCGGACAGGGCAAGATATGACAAAATACCCATTTATAAACCATCAAGGGCTCATGAGGGAGGGGGGAGCGGGGAGGGAGGGGAAAAATGAGGACCTAATGTCGGGGGTTTGAGTGGAGAGAAAATGTTTTGAGAAACGATGTACAAATGCGCTTTACACAATTGATGTGTGTATGGATTGGGATGACAGTTGTATGAGCCCCTAATAAAATGTTAAAAAAAAAGAAAAAGAAAAAGAAAAAAAGAAGTGGCTGGTAGGCTTGAAGTGCGGATTTCGCAGTTAGCAGCCCAATGCTTAACCCATGGCAATTCCAGGGCTCCTTCATTTAATGTACCAGTGGAAGGAAATCCAGAGCCTCTTTTTACTCCCTCCCGGGGTTATAGACTTGGGGACCAGCAGGTGATCGATTCAGGGCAGCCAAGTCCCATTGCATAGCTGTGGCCCAGCGTAGGAGGCACGGAGAGGGGCAGCGTGCCTGGCAGGGGCTCACCAACAGAAGGCGCGCAGCTCCGAGTGTGAAGAACACCTCCCAGACAGGTTTTAAAGACTCTTTAGTGTCACACAGCGGAGAAGAGTAACACATGTCTTTCTTGAAGGGTTTTCTTACCCACACAATCAAAATCCTGAACAAAAATTCCCGTGCCCAAATTAACCCCGCCAGTGGGGTTTTCCTCCTCCCACCCAAAGTTGCTAGATCTTTCCCTTCCTGTCAAGTCAGAATTACTTAATTTCAAGAGACAGTGGCTGCAGGTGGGTGGAGGCCAGAGGCTGTCCTGTGGCTGAGTTGATTCAGCAAAAGGGGGGCGGTGGGGTTCAGTCAATTCATCTGTTCTCTTCTGCTAAGTATATATGCATGGCTCCTCTGTCCACATGTGAACGTGTGTGCTGACCCCATCTCTAGACTCAGGGTTTCGGGCATGTCGCCTATCTTAAGAGTGTGTGTGTGTGTGTGTGTGCGTCTGAACGTGTCCGTGTACATTATGGTGAGTATCAGAGCCCGTCTATCTCGTTCCGGCTCTAAGGGGCTTCCGAGAGTTCATGGTAAAATGGGATGAAAGGACAGTGGAGTTTTCCGAGAACATCTGAAACCCCCTTGCATCTAGGTGTGGCAGTGCTACCCTCTCACCCGTGGCATCCCTTGAGCTCTTTGGCAGTTTCAGCTCCTGTGGCTGCTACCGCCTCCTTCCCCAGGCTTTACAATGACGTAACTGGATCAGTTAAGCAGAACCCCCAATAGTCAGCCGTCACTGCCCCGTGCCCATCCCCCAAGTCCTTTGCAGGAGCTAAGGGAGGATGGAATTGGTGCAGACACCTTCAGCTCCCCAGCGTGCACAGGCTGCACGTACACGTCATAGCCCGAAACCCTTGCCCGTCCATAAATGCCATGAGGAATGATTCTGTGCTACTTCGGTAGTTGCTGTTGTTTGAACATTTCTTTTATCTTTGACATATTCTTTTCCTTAATGCCTCCCCCACCCCCTTCCACAAAGGTGGTGGCAGAACTGTTTGTTCATACCCGACGATCCCTTCTCTCCTGAGGTAAGGTACAGTCACCCAGAAACGGACTGCACTTCCCAGCCTCCTTTGCAGCAGCACGTGGCCATGTTGTATATACCCCTTAAACGCAAAGGGTACCCCTCTTCTTCCTTTCTTCGGTCTCAGGAACAGATGAAATGGGGACTGGGAGGAGGAAGAGGGGGAGACTGGTCCCTGACACTGAGGTGTCACGCCATTAGCACTTAATGATCACACGAGACTTCAGAGAGAAGAATAAACGTTCATCTTGTTGAAGCCCGTTATCTTGGGGCCTCTGTTATAGCAGCAGCAGCAGATTATATTAACTGATACCAGGACAAACAGCTGTTGGTTTGGACCTCCAGCTACGAGCTGGGAGGCAGAGCTTCACTCAGCCCTCCTCTACAATGCCCTCACTTACCTAGCTGCTCCCACCTCCTCCCATAATCCTCTCCAAACATCTCCCAAGTGTTCACATATTTAATGCATGTGTCTTAAGAGCCGGTGGCAAGGGAAAAGTGAATAAAATAGAATTGGGATCAGGGAAAGAGGGCCCTTGACACAAACATTGGGGTGCGGGGGCAAGGGGGGCGGGGCACAGAGGATAAGGAGGCGAGCAGGAGCTGGAGCTGAGAGGTCACCTTCCTGGGGTGTCACATCTCGTCCAACCCG